ACACACACACACTCACACACACACTCACACACACGTGCACACACATACAGGGGAAGGGGGAGGGAGAAACAGTCACACAATTACCTTTGTTGATAAAAGAATGATTCTAGCACTCTTGAATAATGAGAGAGCTAACATGGTAGTAATAAACAAAAAAATGTCACAGGCTTAGGGACATAGAGTAATAGCATAGAATTGAGGGCCAGATTTATGATTCTATCTTTAGATGCAATATTTACAAAATAGTAGATCAAAACTTGTTGTGGTAAGCTGTTGTGATTTGAGCTTATTTACTAAACGCTTACCTGATATGAGAAGACTGTCATGTAGGAGCTATTGAAACCCTTCACCATGCTCATGCCCGTAGGCATGAAAAGAATGAAAATATCCATACATATCCTTCAGAACTAGATGGGAATTTTTTCCTCTTATTTATTCATTTATTTATTTATTCATTTATTTATTAGATATTTTATTTACATTTCAGATGTTATCCCCTTTTCCCATTTGCCCCTCACCTAGAAACCACCTATCCCATCCCCTTCCTTCTGCTTCTATGAGGATGTGCCCCCACCTACCCACCCACACACACACTCTCACCTCCCCACCCTCTAATTCCCCCAAACTGGAGCATCCAACCTTCACAGGACCAAGGATCTTCTCTCTCACCTATGCCCTACAAGGCCATCCTCCCCTACATATACAGCTGGAGCCATGGGTCCATCCCTATGTGCTCCCAGGCTGGTGGTTTAGACCCTGGGAGCTCTGGTTGGTTGGTATTATTGCTCTCCCCATGGTGCTGCAAACCCTTTCAGCTCCTTCAGTCTTCTCTGTAACTCTTCCATTGGGAACCCCATGATCAGTTCAATGGTTAGCTGTGAGCATCTGCCTCTGTATATGTCAGGCTCTGGCAGACCCCTAAGGAGACAGCTATATCAGGATCCTGTCAGTATGTACTTTCTGGCATCCACACCAGCTTCTTCTTTTGGTGACTGTACATGGGATGGATACCCATGTGGAACAGTCTCCAGACAGCTCCTCCTTCAGTTTCTGTCCTGCACTTTGTCTCCATATTTGCTACCATGAGTATTTTGTTACTCCTTCTAAGAAGGACTGAAGCACCCACACTTTGGTCTTCCTTCTTCATGAGCTTCATGTGGTCTGTGAGTTGCATCTTGGGTATTGTGAGCTTTTGTGCTAATATCCAATTATCAGTGAGTGCATACCATGTGTGTTCTTTTGTAATTGGGTTGCCTCACTCAGAATGATATTTTTCATTTGCCTAAGAATTTCACAAATTCATTGTTTTTAATAGCTCAGTAATAATCTATTGTGTAAATATATCACATTTTCTGTATCCATTCCTCTGTTGACGAACATCTGGGTTCTTACCAGCTTCTGGCTATTATAAATAAGGCTGCTATGAACATAGAATAGCATATGTCCTTGTTATATGTTAGAGCATCTTCTGGGTATGTGCCCAGGAGTGGTATAGCTGGGTCCTCAGCTAGGTCCAATTTTCAGAGGAACCACCAGACTGATTTCCAGAGTTTTAAACCTTTGATGAAGATTATGTGGAAAAGTGGAGGCAACATTACTTTCCATACACAGGTGAGGTGCGTGCATGTGGGGGTGGGGTAGGTGTGTGTGTGTATTCACTCGCATGTGTGTGTGTATGTGCATGTACACATCTTGTGCAAATTCAGACCTCTCCACAAACCTAAGACAAAATTTTCAGTGAAAGTTAGCAATACAATGAATTAAAATATCTGTCTTTTCTCAAAGGAGCTCAGAAAAAATTTGGTTTAAGCAAATATTAAGCTATAAATTTTTCAATTTGTGTTAGTTCTCTGAAAGTTTGGTATAAGTTGTTTTGATCATATTTACCCTTCCAATCAGTCTTCCAAATGCCACCTTCCATTTCCTAACTTTCTGTTCTTTATAAATAGACCTGTCAAGACCAATTGGTCCTGTCCAATTGTCCTTACATGCATGATATTTCAGCAGCAGTGTTATCTTATTACTAGGGACTATGCTCCTAAAGGAAAAAAAAAACTGTGTCTATCTTTCTCCCAACAGCTAAAAATTGTATATAGTTTCACAGCTACACTAGAATTTAGTCTCTAGCTTCACTTTATATGATGAGATTTGGACAAGCTTAGCCTTGTGCCTACTGTAACAGCCACTGTGAGTTCACATGTGCTACTGCCCTTCTGTGCACAGAAAACACTGTTGTTTCCCTAACTTCATCTACCACCTCCAGCTCTCACACTCTTTCCACCCTTTTTTCTGCAATGATTCCTGAATATTTTGAGGAAGGGGGTGTAGAGACACCCTGTTTATGGGAATTATGTAAGAATTATTATGCATTCACTTTTTCTCTCTCCTTGAACATTTGTAAGTTAATCATCATCTACTGCAAGAAGAAGTGTATCTGAAGAGGACTGAGGGATGCATTAATCTGTGGATATAGCAAGTTGTTAGGAGTCAGTTTAATATTATGTTGGTTTAGCAGAGTAAAAGTAATAGGTTCTCTCTTATGATCTTTGACATGTTTAGCCATGGGTTGTTAGCTCAATAATGGTGCCAGGTATGGGTTCAAGCTTCTGGAGCAGGAATTAAGGTTATGAGGTTTATGACACTATTACACCAGTGGGCATGTCCTGCCAGGGCAGGCATTGTTGCAGTGCACAGGGTTACTGCTGGGTATGTCTGATGATTACTTTGCTCCTCCAGTAGTAAAAATAGAACTCCCTACACTGTGAAAGTTATCCATTAGGGATGAAGCTCCAAGCCTGCACCAGATTTGTTCTCTGTCACATTCTGCAGGGTAACCAGGACCAATGGCAATACCAAGTCCAACTGTACGTTAACTAGGAAAATTTTTAATTATGAATTCTCAAAGATTTTTGGTGGTGGTGGTTATGGTGGGAGTAGTTTGTTTTTAAATGTTTTGTTTTGTTGTTTTAATTAGTTTGGTCTCACAAAGTAGCTTAGAGTTGCTTCAGGTTCACTATCTTCTTTATATATGCCTCAGATTCACAGCAATCCTCCTGTCTCAGCATGCAGAGTGGAAGAATTATTGTCCTGAAACATTATTAGAGACAACATTCTACTTTTCAACAAAGTCTTCTCTAAATGATACTCACCTTATGTAGACTTCTACTATCTAGGAAATTGTGGGACTGATCAATCTCAACAACCTATCCAATTCTTTCATATAATCCAATTGTACATGGGTTTCAGTTTGCCCTCCCCCACCAAAAAAAATATAATATAAGCCATATAAATTAGTGAAAAGGAGAAGTGAAAGAAGAAAAAAGTACTTCAACAGACTTAGATATGAAAATTACTTAAATCTTAGAAATCATGGTAGGAAACCTTTCAATTTTATACTGAATAAAATTGTTTATTATCAAGGATTTCAATATACTTGGACATTGTTTAAATTCTTATTTCTTTTAGAGGAAAAGAAGTAGTTTTGTCTTCTCTGTGTTGTGAATTTTTCTCATGAATATGCAATACTGAAATTCTAAGCATGTATGACTCACCTAAGTTATAAAACTATTGATCGCATGCTGCATAATATTGTAAGATCTGGGAAATCAGCCTGAGTTGACAGCCTCCCACAAACTGCATTATTTGTCACCATCTGCCAGGAAGCATTGTAATATCTATGTCATAGTTATGTGAAGAGACAAGAGAAGTCTTCAGGATTTATCTCCCACTGAATATGCTCTGGCCATTCGGATGACCTATATGATTTTAATCAGTGTAACTTAGAAGCTATTGAATTACTCATCCTTATTAATCTTCACATTTTTTCTGATGAAAAACAACAAAGACAACCTAATTTTGGAGGGGTTTATTTTAGCTTGAAGTTTGAGGGTACGGTCCATCGTGGCATGAAAGTCATAGAATCAGGAGACTGAGGCAGCAGATCCCTTTGCATCTATAGTCAGAGAGCAGAGACAGATGCATGCTGGTTCACAGTTTTCCTCATTTCATCCAGCCCAGGACTCTTAATCAATGGACTAATTGCTATGCTGATTGGGTCCTCTTACCTCCATTAACTCAACTTAGATGCTCCCTCAAGGACATCTCCATGTTTATTTTCTAGCTGATTTTAGATCTTGACAAATAGCCTATCAGCATTAACTATCATGTTACCAAATATAAGCACAAAGAATGAAGGCACAGATGGATATATTCGTGAAGAGGATCAACATAATGTGTGATGCATTGAGAGATTTTTACAAGTATCTCTTCTACGCGAGTAAAAAGAAAGTGGTAACAAAGTTGGTAACCCTCATGAGTACAATGAAACAAAATATGGAGGAATGTCTGTAGAAATGTAGAAGTTACTCTCCTCAGCTGTGCATTGTCTCCGACTGTCATACAGAGTAAGAGAGGGCAAGCAAATGAGTAGTAGATGACAATGGTGCACAGCAGGATTGGGATGACTAGGGGTGTCTCTGGCTTCAAGTGGAACTCTAAGAAAAACAATAATCAATGCTAATAGGCATTACTTGATTCTTCTTCCCATAGGGGAATCTGTAAGTGGAACAACCAACCCAGAAAAAGAGATCAGATACAAAACATACATGAAGTTGATACACGCACAGAATCAGAGCGGTTGGCCACACAAATATGTTACTCTCATATGCCAGAGATCCTGAATTTTATTTGCTCTGCTTTTCTAATGTTCAGTTGAAGCAGTGGGACAAGACTCTGATGTGTGCCTACATAGAAGTTCATACCTCAAGACTTGCTTGGCTATCTGAAGGCATGAGAAATTCTTTGATACATGATGACCCCTAATTTCAGAATATTTTGAATGAAAACAAAGAGATGTCTTAGTATCATGGAATTGTTTAGCCAGCATTATGATAGCTATAACAATTAACATACTTAATTTACAGAGCCATTGACTTGCTTAATAACAACAGGTCATGGGTGAGTTTAATGTCCGATAATGGATGAAAGACTACTTGAATTTATCATAACACACAAGTGCCCATTATGAATATCCTTCTGCTACAGCAGGGGAAAGAATTCTTGGGAGTGGACTGGTTATTACTGATAAGGATGAAGGGACAAAATGTGGGAAAGCATGTGTCTAAGAATGTAAATATATTTATTATCCACATCCTTGGATTGTCAAAAACCACAGTATAGATAACAAGTATGAATGACATTGAGTATGAGAGGACAAAAGTGCACACAAGGATCAAAATGGTTTTTGTGGCTCTGTCTTCAGGGGAGACTCTGAGGGGATGCTGGGCACTGTGAATGTATTGTAACTGATTTTTGTGCCTATAGAGAATGTTCACCATGAAGACACTGGCCCATACCATGAGACTCAAACACAGACCATCAATGAAACAAACAAAGAACAAATGTAGTCCAGTAACACTATTGCCAAAAGCAAATGCTGAACAGTACCCTAACTTGATTTTCCTGGTGAAATTTTTTATAGTATTTGGTCCAACCACATCTATAGCTGTCTTGATGTTTAGAAGCAGATGCAAAAGCCAGTTTACAGAGCAGAACTGAATCATGTATTTGGAGACAGAGTGTGTAAGTGTCATCAACCTGGAGTGGCTGAGGCTGATTGTGATTGCTTGGAAGCAACTCAAGAGGCAGGTGCAGTGTAAGGAAACACCCCGGAACACTCTGTTACTGGAGAGAGTAAGTTTACATAAGAGGTCATCCAGGAGATACTGCAACCCCAGCTGTACCATTATGTGAGGAGTTACCCTTGAGATAATAACCAAGGAATTGGCTAAAGTCAGATGTTTCACAATCTGGTCTTTGGGCATCAAACTTTTTCCAGTGACTACTGATGTGACATAATGAAGGAGAATTGACCAGTTGCCAAGGATCCCCACAGCTGTTTGAGAAAAGAATAAAATCCCCATTGGCAAGTTCTCAGGAATCATGTTCTTTTCACCTGAGATAAACAAATTTAACCACATCAATACACCCAGAAAGAAAATGTTTAAATGTGTGTTCATTTATCATAGTCTAAATTGTATCAGTGTCTCATCAGGAAAAATGTCTATCTTATAACAGGTTACCCCAAAAAACAAGATAAAGTGCCATGTTCAGATACATTTTGGGTCATCAAGTGTGAGAGCAAAACAAAGGATGTAAACTTAGAATCACGGTTTTCACACTTTCTATACAGTTTTATACTCTTCAAGTTTCCTCTACTGTTTTTTCCTAAATGAATGTCTAATAGCTACTTCTAACTTTTCTGAAAGAAGTTGGTGTATTAATATGAACAGTATATTTGATTCGCTCCTTATTCCAGCTACTAAAACACACAAAAAAGAGGAAATTAAAAAGTATATCCAGAGACGAAAAAACTTGTGAGCAAAAGGAATGGAAAGAATAAATATAAGTAAAGAAACAGGCTGAGACAAATCAGAAAATAATAGTATTTCTTAACAATTGAATCAACAAAAATGCCTACTAGCATTTTCTTATTTAAAAAGATACAGTCATTTATGTTCATATATCCCTAATTTAAAATGAGAGAGAAAAGTTTTTCTTTCTATGACTCTCTGATGTCTTTCCAGCAGACATAGAATATGAAGTTTATAAGTTAAGTATGGTTCACCCAGCTAGAAAAAGTTAGTGAAATTCCAGTGTCAATAGACAATAAGTGTCTCTTTGAACGCAGAGTCTCCCTCAATAAATATTTATTGCAATGACATGCTACTGTACATTACATAAGTCTTGATACAATGTGAAGAAATGATAAGAAATGTTAGCAAGACAGATCTAACAGTCAGTTAAAGAGTTAAAGTGAGTAACTATATCCAAAGCTTCAAAACTGTATCAATGCTTGCACAAGCATTCTGACTTTGAGAAAGCAACAACAAAATAAAAAAGACCAAATGGGAAATAAGAGGATGGAGTGAGAAGCCTATAGAGAGACTATGAGAGTCAATACATGTCATGCTAACACCTTCGAAAAAGAAAAGCCAATCCAAGATTGTCTCCTTAACTACATAAGGAACATTTCTATCCTGAGCCAGCAGGTGCTACTTTTTGACAGGGTTCCAAGAAGGAAAATCTAGGGAATAAGAGATAAAACAGGAGAAGACAAGTGACCTTAGGAGATCATGTGTAAGCTATATCTTATGCCAAGCAAGCTTATTAAGAAGTACAGAGGCAGGAGCAGAGAACATTCTGAGAGAAGCTATTGAACTTAGTAGGCATTTCAGAGGCAGTTAGAAACCTAGCACAATGTAAATTCCATGGAATCCATGAGAGTAACTTTATCAAATAATTTTAGTATTGGGTAACAGAGATCCTAAATTCACTATCTCCTGTAAACAGGCAAGGCCTGATTGGGAAAAAACAGCCACAAAACCTTCAACCTACAGTTTGTCTTGTTTGCAGAGTGCTAGAACAAGAGTCAATCAGAATTGTCATCAGAGAGACTTCATCCAGAAGCTTATGGGAGCAGATGCAGAGTTCCACAACCCAATATTAGGCAGACCTCAGGAAGTCCTGCAGAGGAAAGGCAGAAAGGATCAGAGGAACTAGAGCACACACCATGAAAACAGGGATCGCAGAATCAACTGACTGGGACTCATGGGAACTTGAGAGATCAGAGAGCCTGTAGGCATCTGACCTAGACACTCTGCATGTGTTAGGGCTGCGTAGGTCAGTGTTCTCATGGAAATCCTAACAGTGGAAGCAGAGGCTTTTGCTGATTGTTTTGCCTTCTTGTGGGACCCTTTTCTTCCTATTGAGTTGCCTTATCCAGCCTTTGATCTGATGCTTGGTCTTTTTGTAGGTTCTTATGCCCTGTTTGATTGATATCCTAGGGAGGCCTGCTCTTTTCTGAGGAGAGGAGGAAGGCTGAGATGGGAGGGAGGGGAAACTTTGTGATGGAATATGTGAAAGAATAATATATTTATTTATTTATTTATTTATTTATCTATTTATTTATAAAACAGCTCACCACAGAATGTTAGACCTGTTTGTAAGAGGTCAATAAGTAAAAAAAATACTGGAGTAACCAGATAGTATAAAAATATTCCCATAAAAAATAGAAGTTGGTAACAGTGGAGTTAATAATGAAATTCATCAAAGAATTATGATTATTGAACTGGGGAAAATCTATACAAACCACTAACTAGACTAAAAAGCTGACATGTAATGAGTTGTTAAAGGGATTCCTCTGTGTATATTAGTTTACTCCTAGCATACATGCATTCCTGAGGAATAAAGATATATAAAGATCCTGAATGTCCTATGAAAATAGCATACCACTTAAATGTTCCTTTACCTCCAAAGGATGAAAAAGCATTCTCTCTACTTCATCAATCAGTCAAAGGGATCTTCTTCTTGAACTTCAGGAACCATGATCCTAGAGAACAGGAATTTTCAAAGTTGATATATTATTACACAGTGTAAATGCAAATGAACCCATGCCATATGTCTCAGTCTCATTTTAAACAATGACCTTACTTAAATTTAAAACTTATCTGAAAACAACTACAGCATTTTATATGCTCTTTTCAGGGGAGAAACAGGACAAAGTCAGCAAGAAGCTTATCAAGCTAAGTTGCACAATGAGAGCACAGAATATCTTAAAGGCCTCAGATTCTGAGCATGCAATGGTCCTGGACAGATAACTCCAGCTTTACAGGGGCATAAGCCAAGTTCCCAGGAACCACAACCTTAACTTCTTTGAGGCCCTGGTCCCAGCCCCAAACTGGGACAGAGTCCACTCTTCCAAACAGATTTAGGTTCCTTTAGCTCTTTCATAAGGGCTTCTGCAAAGTTTTGGACAAGTCTAGCTCTTGGAGCATTTTCTAATCATGTGCCCTGAATACATGGGCCTTAAGAGAAGGGTCCAGTGTAGGAGGGTGTTCCTGATGGTGCCAGTATCAGAAGACATTCATGGTAATTCTTTCTTGATATTCTTCTACTCATATACTTTTATACTAAGTCACATGACAATTGGATAAAGCTTCTAACAGGTTAAGAGCTGTTACAAGGTAGGGAGAAAGCAATCAAACACAATGTTTAGAACAAGAGTGACTTAATACAGCCCACCTGCAAAGAATTAGAGAGGAGAAGGGAGTAAGACAAAATATATTGGTTCATAGGGTACACTCTGTCAGGCTATCGAGCAATGCAGGAATTTCAGATGAGGTAATAGACACTGTATTCAAACAAGACAGCTCCAGTGAGTCAGATTCCATGATAAACACCATATAGAGTTCAGACATTCCATCCATCTATAATGAATAATAATTAATTCAAAAATGGTAAAGGGAAGATATAAAGAAAGATATAATATCTAGAAACAAAAGAGGTCGTTGGTATATAAATGGTTCAATATGAAATTTCTTCACCCACAAGTAGAAAAACTAATAAAAGGTCCAAACCAGAAAACAAATGCTAGTCATCTCTCTGACATACTTCAATGGAGAAATTTCCATAAGTTCATTTTTAAAAAGCAAGAAATTGCCTCTTAACATGGATATCAAGGGAGTTTGACAAGCTTTTTCTATAATCATAGTGGATGCACAGACAGGTGAAAGCACTCAAAAGCAGCAGTTCCCAGAATACCCTGTGGCTCTGCTCCATTTGCAGTGCTCCTCATTTGAGCCTAGCCCTGTCTAGTCCACGATGTTGTTTCTTAGGCTCTGCAATTGACAGGACTCTCCCCACTTTTTTGTTCAAACCCTGTGCTCATGTTTTAGAAATCTCCTGAGTTTCAGAATACACTAAGAATGATTAAAACCATACCTGTCAATAGTGAGCTTTCTCCTCCAGATTTCTTTTTTTTTCTTTTTTTGGTTTTTTGAGACAGGGTTTCTCTGTGTAGTCCTGGCTGTCCTGGAACTCACTCTGTAGAGCAGGCTAGCCTTGAACTCTCAAACTCAGAAATCTGCCTGCCTCTGCCTCGCAAGTGCTGGAATTAAAGGCGTGCGTCACCACTGCCCGGCTCTCCTTCAGATTTCATCCAAGACTCCCCTTCACTATTCTCACTGTGAGGTGCTGAGGATAATAGTATCTGTGTTTTCCCTGCAACCCCACAAACTGATGCAGAAGGGTATTTGTTGTCTCAAATTTTACAAAACTTACTAAAAGAATTCTCGGTTGAAACATAGAAATTCTGGCTGTCTGCAAAGAGAACAGCCAATCACACTGTGTATGAGCCAAGCTGCTCAAAGTACACATTATCCATTCAGTCACACAGAAGAATCTAATTAAAGCACCTATTTAAAAAAAATCTCTTTTAGGATGTCATTAATGACTTCTGTCCCTGTGATTTTAAGGTTTGTAACTTGGGGTCTGGAAAGAGGAGTCAGTGATTAAGAATACTTGCTGCTCCTTCAGAGAATCTAGATTCTGTCTGAAGCATCAACATCAGGTGGCTCCCAGCTGCTCTCAACTATATCTTGAGGCAGAATCTGATACCCCTGGGCTCTACTTGCACCAACATTCACATACCCATAAACAAATATATGTACAAATGAATGTTATTTTAAATAATAAGTATGAATCTTAAAAGGAAAGATTAGTAATTTTATCCATCAGGAGAAAATAGAAAGAGCAGAATTCGGCCCCTAACAAGGGTGATGTAGTGGCAGGAGACATATTACAAGTAGAAGTGTTTACTCAAGCATCTGTATCTTAGTTTAGATCTGCTTACAAGCTGCATGGCATTGCTGGGTGTTGTTGATCACCAGCTTAGAAACATACCACACACACACACACACACACACACACACACACACACACACACACTACATTAGCTATTGTTTATCTATCTATCAATCATTCATCTGCCTCCCTAGCTATTTATATGTCTATCTGGATGTTTTCATTTACAGATATATATTTGTATCATAAATATGAATGAGAATGGGGAAGTATCACCAGATAGGGAGAGAAACATTGGAGCTTGTGGGAAGCTCTGGTCTGCACAGAATGGGAAAGG